ACTACGACGACGACGACGACGACGGCGGCTACTACTATTGCTGCTACTGCTGCTGCTGCTACTACTACTACTACTACTACAACTACAACAACAACTACTACTACTACTACTACTATTGCTACTACTATTACTACTACTACTACTACTACCACTACTACTACTACTACTACTACTACTCTTACTACTACTACTACTACCACCACTACTGCTACTATTACTACTACGACTACTACTACTACTACTACTAGTCCTGCTACTACTACTCCTGCTACTACTACTACTACTACTACTACAACTACTACTACTACTACTATTATTACTACTACTACTACTACTACTACTACTATTGCTACTCCTGCTCTACTACTACTGCTGCTGCTGCTGCTGTTACTATTACTACACTGCTAGTATTGCTACTGCTGCTGCTACATTAGTCGTACTACTGCTACTACTACTACTACTACTATTACTACTACTACTACTATTATTACTACTACTACTACTACCACCACTACCACTACTACCATTACCGCGACCGCTACCGTTACCGCTACCAAACTACCACTCCCACTGCGAGTGCTCTCGCTGCTCTTGCTCCTGTCTTGCTCTTGCTGCTTCTGCTCCTGCTATTGGTATGCTAAGGTATCGCTATATGTGTCATTGAAGCCAATCCTGTTGTAGCGTTTGTTTTTGTTACCATTGGTTTTTATGTTGTGTTTGGAACCAATCCGATTGCCGGCATGAAAATTGTAGACAAATTCCCCCTGGCCAGGGCAGAAACGGAAGGATCTGACAACTGCTCCTGTGTGCTTGAACTTTTCAAGACAGACGCCAAGCCACCAAGCCTGCCTCGCATGTGAACCGCTGTTTTTGCGGTCAACATAATATGTTGCAAGAGATGTGTGGGGTTTGAAAGCACGGGTGTGCTTTGTCGCAGCACATTCCCGAAGAAGGATGTCATTTAACACGTCGCGTCGTTTTGTTACCAGCAGCAGTTTCATCACAAAGGTTGCTAAGGTTGAATTTCAATCATGCGAAAGTTTCCGTGTGAAGAGGGTCGTGAGCTTCTTGCTTTGCCCACCTGCAGCGTTGGCTCCACGTTTAAGAAATGAGGTCACTTATCCGTGCTGCATTTTCAACTGGCCGGAATGAGTTTGCTCGCCGACACGTGCGATGGTACCCCATGCCATCTCGACCTGGAACACAACATTCTTCTTCTGCAAATTCAAACGCATTTTGCTCCGGGGCACCCGGAAGCTATTTCGCATCTGGATGCGTTTTCGGTGCTCGACAGTGATTTAGCGATTCTCACATTGGCATGGGGACCATTGGCATTCGTTTCCTTATTCTTGTTGCTTCCTATCTTGGTGCGGCAGTTGGGTGGATTGCCTGCCGAACATGCCTCAAGCAAGCCTGACGAAGATGCAGCCCCACCATTGGCATTTCTGCGTGTGACAGGTGCGCTATGCAGTGGTGCCGAGCACTCAGTTGTTTCAATGTCGTTCCGCCCGTTTTGTTTGCTGCTTGGGAAAATTTGTTGGCGAGGTGTTTAAGTTTAGGGGTAACTAACATGATTCGTGTAGGTGGGCCGTGCAGGCATGTTGAGCACAGGCCCTTGTATATCCGACAAGAGGTCATGGCAAACATCACGTCAATCGTGCTCACCGTTCAAACGGAAACTGAGCAGTTGACCACATCTGGTTATCTTCTGGCCAGTGAGTGCGTGGGAGCAATGGCAGGCCTTCTGCTCTTCCGATGCTTCGGGCTAGCTCACCTGCGAGTTGCCTACCAGCTCACAGCTGTAAGCATGATTGCAGGTAACGGGCTGTATGCTTGGGCCTCCATTCAGTCCAAAGGGCTGGCCGCATTGTTCGTCAGCAGGATGATCACCGGCGTGGGGGCAGGAAGCATGTTGCTAGTTTAGTTTAGTTGCTCAAGTCATTTTTTGGTCGGCTTTTTGTTTTTGCAATTCTTTTCGTGTCACCTTGTTGTCATGCTGCGGTTTCAAATGCCGAGGTACAACTCGGCCATGGCGATGGTACATTTCGCGCGGGGTCGACAAAAGACTCCGCACATGGTGTTGTACCAATTCTTCGTGGCCTTTGGTGTGGCGCTGGGCCCTGCTCTCGCATCAGTCAGCCTGGATTTACTGCCAGGAACTCAGACCAAAGATGCTTTGGCCAACTGCATCCTGGTGGTTTGGGGAGCAGGGCTTTGGCTAGCAGTGGTGGTGGTGGTCCCCCGTGACCTCAGCACGCTCGAGGCCCAAGCCGGTTTCACAAAGTCGGTCCTGGAGGATTCCGAGGCTACAGAGACGTCTGAGGTACCAGACACATCGACTCGGAGTGGCACGATCAATGGGCTGGCTTTGCTTCTTACCCTCATCAGCAGTGCCACGATCAGGATGGGCCAACGGAATCCTGTATGCAAAATGTTTTGAGACACGCGTTGCGCAACAACTCAGACCTGCATTCATGTAGCCAAACAGACTAGATTGTTTTTTCTGCCAAGCACATGAGTTATATAATGAAATGCAGCCACGACACAAACACAGAGGACGAGTACTAATTAACAGCAGGTCGGTGTGAGAGAGAAGGGAGTAGAGTAGTTATTCATCGCTGTCGTGTTCTTGATTTTGCTTGGTTGGAGTGGTCACGACAATCACTTACCCAAGCCCGAGCACAGCAAAACACCGTCTTGTTGAGCTGTGAGGCTACTTTGGGAGAGTGGCTCAGTCATTGCTGTGGAGGTTACATATGGCTGGTCCGCTTCCACTGCAGGTTTGGTGTTCATTGTGGTCGTAGTGTCCATGACTGTTGCGCAATATCTTTTCTCGCAGCACGTGGCAGGCAAATATCCAGATACGGTGTTGCTACGCCGACTGGAAATTGCACAGCTAGTTGGTGTCTTGCTCATGTTTCAACCTTGGCAGCTTCCCGTTTCCTTGAGTGTACTGCAGTTTATGGTGGCGTCCGTTCTTGCATACTCTTCGAATGCAATTTGGTCTGGCGTGATCACTTCATTCTGTGTAAAGCGATCACTGGCACATTCGTTCTGCAGCTCAGAAAATCTTATGCTTCTGAATCAAGCAGCGATTTTCCTTGGGATAGCTGCCGGGAGCACAATCAGCAGAGCGAGTCAGGAAGTGGTGCTTGGCGGATCTGCATTATCGAGTATGAACGCCTTGGCTGGCACACTCCTCGTTGGAGCTCTGCTTCAGCTCAACCTGTCACTCACTACAATCAGCGAGATTTCCTTGGATTTTTTTGTTGCCATAGTGAGCCTGGGCTTGGGAATCGTGATTCCAGTTGCCGCCCTGATTCCTGCATGGGGAGGTACAGGTCCGTCTAATGTTTTTACCTGGCACATCGTCTGCATGGCCATGGCATGGCCTTGTCTTTCCGTGCTGGGTTATTGGAGCTACAACGCTGATGTGATGAGTGGAAGCAGCAAGAACGATCGGCGAACCATCCACATGTTTTGTATGCTTGGAGTTGGCATTCTTTCAATTGCAGGATACGCTTGTCTTTTCGAAGCCCACAGGGAGAATGGAGAGGGCCAATTCGGGGGCCTCATGGTCGAAGGCAACAAGTTGACATTGAAGCGTGGTCTGGGCCGCTTCATCCATGTTGCGATCGGCTACCTGGTTGTTCTGGGAGTGTTGCTGCAAGCTTGCATGGGCCTTTGGAAGCGGCACGTCCTTCTCAAGTATGATTTGAAGATCGTCACTTGGCACGGCGGGCTTGGGCGTGTCCTCTTAATCTGTGGCCTAGTTTCGACCTGCATTGGTGTTTGCCTGGACATCAATGGGAAGGGTGGCTTCCCTCTGGCACTGAAGCTTGGCATCTCTGCAACTTTGCCTTGCCTTGGTGCACTTGCCTTCTTCCGGGCCCCGGCAATTTGAGGGCAGAAGATCTGCTCTGGTGGATTTCACACACCTCTTGGTGTTTGTGCGCTTCGGTGTCTGGAGCAAAACTTCGACTCTTCGATGCGCTGTGCAAAGTCCGCTGCGGACGTTCGTTCTGGCCAGGCCTACCAGCTGCTGTTCCCACAACATAGCTTCATGTGCCAAGATGCCAGTGCCTGTCTGCTGCTGCACGACGAAGAACAGCGCAGTAGCATGGTGTCTTTAAAACTCGACTGTTCGACATGGTTTAGTGAGTCTTCAACGAGATGTTTGTCAGGAAGGGCAGTTGTCATGGAGAGAAGACATGAGCATAGCCACAGAAGCACTCGTGAAATAGTCTGTGGCATTTTGGAGAGTGCGCTTGTGTCACGCAATGGCGAAGGATGTCAGGAGACAGCGTTTCCTCAGCCTTGTTTGCAGATGGAAGTTCTGACGTCCGGAGGAACCCTGAGTTCTGGAACAAGTTCATGCAGCGGCCGGAGGCCATCGGAGGAGGGTTCAAGGATGTCCAGGGTGCAGGCAGGTGCAGGCCGTCTCATACTTGCTGGTTTTGCAGGTTCAGGCCGCCATGCGGTCCAAGCTGAAGTACGAAAGCGCTGCAGAGGTGAGGGGCGCGCCGGTCGTTCGCACGTCCGGGATCACAGCTCCAGCAGGCCGCTCAGCGAACGAAGCTGGACAAGCTTGAGCGAAAGCAGCGGAGGCCTGGAGGAGGACTGGGCCTTCTCGAGACGTCAACTTTTGCGGTCTCCTTGAGGTACGAGATCATGAACGAATTGATGAAATGTGCAACCAATGTCAAGCACCTGATCTCGCCGATGTTCCGGTGTCTCGTCGAGCATGTTTGCGACAGTGCAAACTGATTCTGTGCAGCTTTCCGTTGAAGCCTGAAATGAACGCAGGTATAAGATCACACAGCAGTACCTATGGAAGGTGGGGACTGTCAGACTTTCATCCTGGAAGGGCGGATCTCCATGCCGATGAGGCTGAGGGCAAATAGCCGTGCCGTGTTGCAAGGTGCTTTGCGAAGCTCGCAAGGAAGGCTTGCTCTTCTGCGACAAGCTTCGGCCCGGAACTCGGCTTTCGTGCCTGTCAGAGACTCGTTTTGCTTGGTTCTCTCATGCTTGCCACTCTTTGAGAATTGGGTTGCCCGTTGGCCATGCCAGTGCTGAAGGCAGCCGCAAGTCTACCATAGGCTTCAAGCCATCAAGGCCAGCTGATGCCGAACACACTTGCCTCACTTCGCGGGCCTCGTGTAGTTCAGGCCGAGATCACTGCCGGTCCATACGGCGTTGCCGGCTGGCAGGCGGAAGAAGAGGCCAGCGTCATGGCATAGTCTCCCCGACACAGCAGAGTGTAGCCATAAGTCATGAAGCAGGTGGAAGAGGACCTGATGGACAAGATGGTCGTCGAAGCCGACTGTATTCCAGGTGGTATTGACGGTGAGGTGCCTGCGTGCATACTGCTTCAAAACCATGGGAGAAAGACATTCCTGGTCCTCTCCAGCACTTGCATCAGGCGCCAGACAGAAAGCAGGTGTTGGACAGACGCGAGATTCAGGCAGAAACCCGTTTCCGGTGAGTGCAGCCGGCATGAGAAGACGGCAGGGAGTCCTGGACTTCGGGCAGCGGATCAAGTCAGAGGGGAATGAGGCGCCACTTATCATTGCAGTTCTAGAACGTGTGTGCCTGTCCTGCATGTCTGAGGCCTTCATGAACGAGAACTGGGAAGGGGCTCTGACACGGTGCCTGGATTCTGAGCTGAGCTAAGCCAAGACAGCTTTGCTTGGACACAGGTACTGCCAGGGAGATGAGATGCTGAAGAACTTCGCTGCTGAGCCACACCTCGAAAAGGAAAACAAGGCCCTCTTCGGGGTTGATCGTTCTGAACTTGAGCCAAAATCTCAAGAACAGCCTCAAGCATGAAGCTAGAAACAGTTTATGCTGAGCTGCGACAGGAACTGAAGACCATGCACCGCCAGTGCTTGAACAACAAGGCTCCATTGAAAAGTTTCGCGCCGGCTGAAGCTCCGCACGGCGCATTGGTGTCGTAGGCCAATGCAGCCCTGATGACTGATCAGTGGCAGACGGCTTTGCGGGCGTGCAGACCTGAGCTCAAACACTCTTCCTTGGCGCCGGGGCACCGCACCTTTCTCAAGGGCAGATTCTGCCCTCAAGCTGAAGATGGATGACGAGAAGGTGGAGTCAACTCTCCGAAGTCTGGTTGCTTCCATGGAGCCGGCGTGCCGAAGCACAACCTCTTTTTTTTGTCTGTTGCTATGGTGGTTTGCACGGCCCGGGCTCCTGGAGAGGCGTTGTTTCGAAAAGCGCAAGCTCTCGAGGGCTGCTGCCTCGGGGTGCGGGTTCAAAATGTGGCCGCCTGGCCTGGCAGTTTGCATTCCCTTTCAGGTCTTGGTCGAACAGAGGAGGACCGCCTCGCAGACAGCAAGGGCCAAACGGCAGAGAAGCATGACATCAGGCACTGGAGGTGCTCAACGAAGTGGAAGAGATTGCTGGTGACATGGACGAGGCCGCCATTCGATCTGCTGCTTCGATACCCATCAGCAGATGCAGTCAGGAGTTCAAGGAACAGATCCTCGATGATGTGCGCGAGCGCAAGGAGGCGGTTCTTTGACCCCATGTACAGCAGCAGCAGCATTGTGGAGTGAAGGTTCTTAGGCGCAACGTGCAGTTACATGCAGGATGCAATGAGAGTCTGTCAGGAACTCAAGGCAATCGAGCGAAAGGCAGCGAAGGACTTCAACAGCATGTTCAAGGCTATGGGTGACAAGCAGGCCGACTGGAAAGTTTGTCAGTCACGATGACGGCGTGGCTTGCTTGTCTCACTGCCTGTTTGCCTGTTTGTCTGTCGCTCTCGCTTGTTCGCTCTCTCACACTCTCACTCTCCCCTTCTTTCACTCTCTCGCTTTCTCACTCACCCACCTAGCCACCCATGCGCACACTGACTCACTCACTCTCTGTTTGCTTTTCTGTCTTGCCTCTGTTGCTCCTTTCGTTCTCTCGCTCTCTCTCTATACACAGCCACTGCGATCCTTTGCGATTCTCGTCTCTGCTGCGTAATCGAAGTCGCTGCCTCGCCGGGAGGTATTTGGCAGTGGACGCTTCCTCGCGGATGGCACCTCTCCGCCACCAGCGCTCACAGGCACGGTCTCGAACCTTCGTCATTTCTGCATGGTTTAGGAGCCACATGGCTCGTAGTTGGGTCGACTTGCCGAGGAAGGACCGGAAGGCGGTAACGGGTATCCTGGGACCTGAAAGGTGCGCTTCAGAACGGCCTCATGGACCCCATCATCTTACTGATCGATGCGTATTCTCGTATTCAGCATACGACCCACAAATCCTGTATCTACCGTGCAAGTTAGGGCGTATTATCGTGTTGTAGGCAATGGGATCGGCTCCAAGCCCTTCCACTATTTTCCACTAATCCCTGCAAGTCCTCTGCAAGTCGTTCAAGTGCAAATGCCGAACGCGAGCAATGTGGTTCGGAATTCCTTGTGATTTGAACCACTTTGTGATCTTCCTGAAGGTTACCGAATCGCTTGGAAGCTTTTGTTTTAGTTTGAAAAAACAAGGAGTTTTCTTCCGTCTGCACATGCTGAATTAGAATGCCGGTGGCCAACTTTCGAAAGGCACGTTAGAATCACCGGCAGCTCAGTAAGAGTTGCTGGTATCAGGCGCAGAAGAACGGAAACTGAAGCGCATCAAGGCGGGGGTTGATGCCTTCTCCTAAGCAGGCTTATGCTCGTCAAGGCCACGAGTTGAGACGTCTCTGCAGGAGCAAGAAGAGTACAGGACCGCGAAGGCCAAATACGAGCTGGAGCAGAGGAGGAAGGTTGAGATCTGAGGGTCATGCTTTGCATGGCACATTGCATGGCACATTGCATGGCACATGCTGGGCGATAGCTGCTATGCGTCCTTGGAAGATGCAGCTTGTGGCAAGCAGGCAGACATCTGTGGTAGCATATTCTGGACAGACATGTAGCCGCTGTAGCTGTCCTCCATGTCGCCAGAAGCCCACCGGAAGGGCGGGGATGGCTGGGCTGCTGCTCTCGTCGGGACTTTTCGTGCCTCGCAAGTCAAAGTCGGGGACCCTTGCGATACCGCGCGTCCACTGTCGTCGGCGCGTCCTTTCACGCGGAGCAGGGTTGCGGCAAAAGCTAGCTCGAGGAAACGGCTTGCCCGAGCTCCAGCTTTACAGTGTTCAGGATGATCCTGAGCTAGCAGCTGACATTTTCCGGGATGTGGGCTTCGTGCTGATACCTGGTGCGGTGAGCGACCAGCACTGCTCTGAGCTGCTGGCGGCATGTCAATCGGAGGAAGCTGAGATTCTGCACAGAGACCCTGCCGGTGTTGGTAATCGTGGGCACGGTCGATATTCCCTGGGTGAGGCGCGCTTGCTACTCGTGTCCGCGCGGTGCACCTCGGATCGCTTATATACGTGTAGGAAATGATAAAACGCGGTGCGGCTTTGTGGAGGCTCAGGGCACTGGCCATCTCCTGCATCGTGCGGAGTGGGCGTCCTTGGTGGACCTTGAGAAGGCCCAGCGGAGCCGGTGTCGCTGCGCTTTGCATTCAGATCCTTGAGCTTTGTGCGGTTGCTCTGCAGGTCACTCCCGTCTTGCAGAGGATCTTTGGCAAGTCCGGCTACGTGTGTGCAGGTGCCGGTGGGGATTTCGTGCTTCCGAACACCTACGAATACCAACCGCTGCATGTGGATCTGGACTTTCCGGGTTGTCAGCAGCAGTCAGCTTCACCGGTGGTCACCTTGAACGTGCCATTGCTGCCGCTGACCTGGGAGAACGGTCCAACGAAGCTAAGCTGTCTCCAGCATCTGCTTTTGCCGCTGTTTGGGAAGCTTTCAAAAAGCCAAAGAGAGTCTTGGTAGCCAAGAGGCGCCTCATCCCTGGCACGCACCTCCCTGCTTCCTGGCAACCGCCTCCGCCAGCCTTGGAGCCGGAGGCCTGGAAGCTCTTCACCTTCTGTCCCATCGCTGCAGGCCAGGGCCTCAGGGCCAGGCCACGGGGCCGCGCTGAGTCTCGTTGAGTACTCTCCTTGTTTGAGCAGGCACCGCCATCCTGCGTGACAACCGAGCCTGGCACGGAGGGACTCCAAACCTGTGTGCTTCCCAGACGCGGCCCCATCATCAAGAAGACATGGAAGTGCTGCAGATATGCAGTGAGCCTGAGGTCTCAGACAAGCAGGTTCCTGCCAAACGTCGAGTTTGCAGCTGCTTGGTGGTGTGTCGGATCGACCGACGAGCTGTGGCGGAATCCTTGGAAGCTTGCTCCACGCTGCATGCCCAGAGGCATCTATGAGAGGCCCACTCGCAGCTTTGACTGATTTTAACTGTTTGATGATCGCTTTTCTCTGAAAAGCTTGGCAGGTTGTCGCCCTTCGCCAAGCATGTTTGCAGGTGCAGAATTCCACAAACGCCACTTCATGTTCCGTGCAGAAACTTCGCCTCTTCATGGTGCTCCCTGCAGGCTGGTTGTGACAGACGACCCCTCGCTGAAGTACGGTGTGCGTGATGCATTCACGTACCCTCATGCCTAGGTCCTAGGTTGATGGAGTATGTTTGAGCGACGTCTTGTCGGGCTTGGCACTGGCAGCCGAAGCACCTGAGCTGTTTGGGTGCCGTGGGTGGCGTTCTTGGTGACTTCCAGTCTTAATTCCAGTCCATCCCGGCACGGTTCGTTGGGTGATGAACGTTGTGGACTTCCCAGTGTGACCTGCTGGACCAGTTGGCTGGCCGTGACGCAGACTGAGCTTCAGACCCAGCACTCGGACGGTGGATGGTCGTGGCATTGAACGATGGCCCCCGCAAGTCTGCGTGCCTGAGAAAATGATGCGTTGACAGCTCCGCGACTGTGCAGCTTGTCCCCTCAGAGCCCAGAAGACCCCGGCCAAGGAAGGCAAGCCCATCATCGACCAGCCGAAGGAGCCCGAGATGCCCACCCCCAACAGGTGGATTGGGGTGAGATTAGATTCATGACGAGGGTTGGGAGAATTGCGAGGCCACCTTTTGGATACCGGTCAGCGGATCGGACAAGGAGCGGAATCCGGCTGTCCCGCGGTCAGAACTTTGAGCTTACGACTTGGGCTGTCAAGCTACAGGACCCTCACCAAGGCGCAAGCAGAGCAGCTTCTGGAGGACTGCGTGCTCTAGTAGTCTAGACTGTCCACAGAATCGTGGAGTGCAGGTGAGTGCTTGGAAGTTCTGGCGTGCAAATGAACGTCTTTCGCTGAAGTGGGCTCTGCTTGTTTCCTGACCTTTCCAAGTCTGCCAGTTCGTGATGTGGTGACGGTCCTGCAGAATAGTCACTTGAGACAGACAAGGCAAGTTGGTAGACCACGGTCTAGAGTCTAGTCCAGTCCAGCCTAGTCTACTTTATTGTAGTGTAGCCGTGCTCATATCTAGTGCCGGGTTCCAATGGCGCCGACCGGCATCTGGGCATGCAGCGAGAACGTTGTTCGCCAGAGACTTCGCAAGTTTGGTTTTACTCAAACGAGAAATTGCCTGTTCAGGTCGTAGTTTTGTCGTATTCAAGTCATGCCTTCTGTGCGCAGCACATTTGATAGTTCTGCATGTTCAGGTGACGACGTCGTCTTTCAGTATGGTGCAGGTCCTCCGATCTAAACTCAGCAGCAAGCCCATGCTTGGAAGCTCACCGCGGCATCATGTGTCGACGTTCTCGTTGGTGCTGAGCCGTAGAAGCAGCCTCAATCGCCTTTGCAGGGAGCACTGCTGCCAGATGCTGCCAGGTGGCAGAGGCAAGGGCTTCGGCAAAGATGGCCGTCGCCTGATGAGCCAGCCGAGAGGCATCCACGTGGAGAGCGTGCGCGTCTCAGAGCGCCGGAGCCATGCGGTGGATCTGTGAACTCTGCAGCTTTCTGCACAGAGGATGGCTCCCTCTATGTGGCAGACTTCACGAGCTTCTGCGTCTTCAGATTTGCGGCAAACGACAGTCGTGGTCACGTTGTCGCGGGGGAAGATGGGAAGCAGCTGATGGATGTGGACTACATGAAGGACATTGTGGAGCCCGCGCAGAAAGGTAGGGAAACGGCATGCCGGAGTCTTGCGCTGGACGCGCATCGCTTTGCGCAGGATATCGACCGGCCATTAGCCTCTCCGGAGGGGGAAGGCTTCCTGCTGAAAAACCCGATCGACGTAGTCTCCAGCCCGAGGCTGGCCGGGACTTGTAGTTGTTGTAGATTCAGGACAGGACGCGAAGCTGATTTCGGCTGAAGCTCAGGGATGGTCTCCTGGTGTTGGACTGTGCGGCGGCCCGTGTGCAATCCTTTCAGCCTGGTCCTGGAGGCACAGAAGCTCCGGGCTGAATCAAGCGCCCAAAACCAGTGCACCAGTGTGGCATGATCACCGAAATATGAGCCAAGAAAGCTCTGTGACTCTGTGTCTGCTCCAGGCCAATCCGCTGCCGGACGTGTAAGAGTCCCGCCCTCGACAGCTCCTCCGGCCGCTACGACTGGCAATAAAGACCCGACTCGACATGGCATCTTTCACCAAAGCCGAAGCCTTGTGTGGTGCCCTCAGGCGAAGTCGGTGGCAGCACCTGAAGCACTCAAGTCACCCACTCGAGCGAAGCAACCATGTGCTAAGCTAGCTGAAAGCCACTGCAGATGCGGCGAACCGGATGCTCAGCGAAGTGTTGAGCACTTGAGGCATCCGCGTGCTATTTTCCTCGAAGACGACGGCATTGTGGTGTGTGACACCTGGAGCTGCTCGGATATGATATAGCCGCTTGCCGGGCTAGCCACACCCGCCTTCAAGAGCAGGCAAGCCGAGCATGGAAGGAATGCAAGCAGGAGCGAAGTCTTCCATTGTCTTTGTGAGGCCACCGTGTGCTGCGGTACCGGACTTCGGCTTCCGCGCCCGAGGTGCTCGCGGGAACGCCCAACTCTTGTGCCTCGGTCGATCTGGCATCGGAGGGACACTGGGCTTTTCTCTCAATCGGGAGAGCGGGTTCTGCCAGGTGGTGGCGAACCTGGGAAGCTGAACTTTCCAAGCTGCATTGCCTTCTGCGCAGACGGGTCGTTGTTGGCAGCTCTGCTCAGCTTGTGTCAGCTCGCATCAAACGGTCTGAAATGTGACAAAGTGTCCAGGTATCAGACACCAACAACCATCGAGTACAGCGCTTTCGGCCTGGAGAGCGTCAAGGCCGTGCTCGGCTTCTCCTGTTACGTTTACAGCTCCAGTTCAAGAAGCTGCGACCGCCAGGAGAGACGGTGGCTGGCTCGGCAGAGTGTAAATCTGGGTGCAGCCTGACTGAGCTCAACATGCCCACAGGCCAGGTTGCGGATCTCCAACTCGGCGTTCTGATCTGAAGTGTCCAAATCAAGCTTCAAGACTTGTGGACTTATGTACGGATTTAGAAGATCTAGTGACTAGTGACTGGTTGTCTTCAGCGATTTCCGCAAGCCCTTGAGCTTGAGCAGGCCTCGTGGTCGAGGCAGATGGGAGCTTCCTTGTCGCAGACCGTGCAAACGGCCGAGTGCTGCGCTTTCGCGAAGGCGGGTGTCGGAGGGGGAGAGGGGGGGAGGGAACCCGACTCGGAGTCCGAGAGGCGGAGCCGGCGAGGTGCTGGCCGGCCCGGAGCTTCTGGAGCGGCCGTGGCTTTGCAGATTTGAGATTTGAGGGTTTTGCTCCTTGGGGTGGGGGTTTGGGACTTGGCAGGTGGGGTCTGGCTCTTGGTCCCGACGGTTCTGTCTACGTCTCGGACGAGCGACGGGCGGTAGTGTCTCGGCCGCGCTCCGGTCCAAGCTACTGGCATCCCAGATTGCCATTCCATCACCGAGGTGCTGAAGCTTGCAGGGGCCAAGCCCAAGCAGCCCAAAGCTGAAGCAGCGCCGCCACAGCCTTCGGGATATCCGCCGCAGATGCCGGCAGAGGAGCCCTCGCGTGGCTACCCTGGCAAGCAGCCCGCCGCCGCTCCTGCCGCCCCGGACGCCCAGCCAGAATGAGACAATCGCTGCAGAGATACAGGGAGCGAGAGACGGAGTAGACACGCAGAGACACTTTCTGCCAGGATCTCGGTATGGGCCTGGACTGAATGTGCCAGGTCAGGTAGCTAGGTAGAATTCATGGTGCAAATTCGCATCCTTCAAGGAGAGTCTCACGGAGAATTCATTCTTGCCTCCATAAAGAAATCTCAGCTGTCTTGCGATCGGATGGCCGCCCACTGGCATCACGCCTTCGTACGCTGCAGACACGATTAATTATAGCTCTGTGTCGACTGACCGACACCAGGACATCAGTAGCAATCAGGTGAGTGGGTACGCTTTTTTAAGTCAGTCACGATTCACAGCTCAAAAGCTCTGTCTGCAAGACGAGAGCAGGAACTCCTGGGTACCTACAGTGCTGAGGGCTTTCAGAAGAAGGCTGCGGCACATGTTGACCGTTTTTTGTCAGAGAGCCCAGCTCTTGAGTCGCTCCCTTGTTCGGAAGAGAGGTGCACGCTGATGCCAAGGCAAGTTCTGTGAGGGGTTGAGGGGTCGTGTCTGTTCCATCTGGGCGTTTTGGAAAGAGTTTCGCATGTCGGACGCACGTGGGAGGCCGTCATGTTCGAGATTCAGCCCTTCCTCAAGCGGCTCAAGAAGACGGCTTTTGCGGCGCACATCTCAGATGCAGTCGTAGCGGCACGAGATGTCAAAGCGATGCACTCTCCGGCCTCGCCCTCTTCGGCTCAACTGCAGCCGATTTCTCTGCGAGCGGCTGCCTTCTGGAGGCTGGGCTTGGCGGCTTGGTCCTTGGCCTCGCCATGCCGAGTTTTTTCCTTTTGCCTCCAGGTGCGCATGACCATGAGACGAAGTTCCTTAGGAAAAACTGGCGCGTGGGGACCTCGCTTCGTTTCTTTGAGCCTGCGATTTCTGGCCATTTTCCTCAGTCTCGCCTTGGTGCTGGGCGCCGGCTACTTGTTTCTCGATGCCCTGAGCTGCTTCGTGGGAGCGGGAGCCTGACATCACTGAGTTCAGACGGGGCAGCTTCGTATGGCCATGTCCAGCTGCCCGGCAATCGAGGCCGGCCTGACGAACAACCGATCCTTGCCGCCGGCTTGGTTCTGTTTTCCAGCTTGTGGCTCTGACTCGATGGCGGTTCTAGAGGTCCACCGAGATGAGGGGATACAGTCGCGGCCACAGAGGGAAGGATACGGTCGCGGCGTGACTTCGCATAAGCCACAAGGGGCCCCCAGCCATGGAAATTCCGATTCCGAGCTCTAAGGGCTGGACAGGATGCTCGAAGCCTCCGATGGAGACCGATCTTTGCAGACCTCGGACCGGCTCGGAGGGAAACTCCACGGATGTCCATGGCGGACGCGTTGCGAGCTGCAAGCTTGCAGGAAGGCTTCTGGATCGGAGAGAAGGGCTTTGAGAAATCGCAGTGGGCGCAAGGCACGAGATGAATGGGGGATTCGTGATTCCACGACATCTCCTTTGGGTAGAAGTCATCGAGTCATGGGATGCAGCCAGCTCGGTTCTGTCTTGGTCACTTGCTGTTGATTGCAAGGCTACCGCTACCGCATGCGAGCCTCTCCGGAGGACTGGCTCAGTCTATGAGGAATTCCAACACACAGCAAGCACGCACTGGAGACAGCTAGATCGAGATACCTCAGAGTGAGATTCATAATATCAGAATATCATCGTGATGCTTCCGATCAAGTCGACCAAGCTTGCGATGCTCATATGCAACAGGAGTTCAAGAAAGGCATCGACTGCCCCGCTCCGTGACCATCTCAGTCTGAGGTTTTCGTTCTTTCTGCACCTCCTTGCCTCCTGCTCTCATACTCTCGCTCTCACTCTTCCATGCATATTTTTGGCTAACGCGAGACGAGAAGCCGGGGAACGTAAGAACATCTGAGGCTCCAGATTGGCCCCATCAAGTGGAAGGTGGGCGAGGCCATGACACGACCGAGATAACAAGCCACGGACACAGTGAGACGGAAAGAGGGAGGAGGGCAAGCACTTTTGGTGGATCTCTTTGCACGTGTGTCAGTGCTTCGGTGGGAGTGGCAACAACGACAAGTTGCCTGTGCCTCAATGGAATGTCCATACTCAGCCAATCTCAGCAAAGCCCGAGTCTTGAGCTGCTCCCAGCCTACATGAAGTGATTGTTGGCGGAGCAGATCCTTGGCCATTGAGGGCTGTTTTCGCTCGAGGCGCCAACTGAAGAAGGAGCTCGCCCAGGCCGCCATGCTTCAGATGTCTTCAGGTCACGAGTCAGGTGCCTTCGCCTCCCACCCAGACACCCCCCAAGTCGGCTTCAGAGTGCCTCTCCCTCTTGCTCAACTTCGGTGGGGACCACGTAGAGACGCTTGAGCGTCGACTGTGGTGATGGAAGACAGAAGAGGCAGCACGAATGCTGGCCAGAAAGTTTCGGGGTCTCTTTGCTGGCCTGACACAAGCATTGGCTCTCTTGCAGACAGCTTCCTGTCGGTCCATGCACCACGAAGGAAGCCATGACTGAGAAGAACCACCGCAGACAAGATTGAACATGTGGGAACCAGAGACTGAAGGGGAGAGAGTGAGAAGCCACGGCGAGGCTGGCCTCGATGATCCCAAGAAGATCGCGGCACTCCGCCAGCACTTAGGTTGACTTCCCTCTTCCGGTACCGTCCGCAATTGCAAAATCCGGAGAAATGAGGAGAACGAGTACTGGCTCAAGCGCTACGGCCGCAAGCGCTGGTACCCCAAGTACGTCAACCAGTCCGGTGCCAAAGGCCGGAAGGGTCGGGCAAAACCTTCTGGCCTCTGAGTTCAAGGGTTTAGGGCGGCACAGGCCAGCAGGGCCTCTTCCGTGGCTTGGCAGCCTGGTCCGGCCCGTGCCTCAATAAAATCGCCCGCCGGATGTGCTGGAGCGCCCTGAGTGGAGGCTACGACCCTCTCAATGAGGAGCGTGGGAAGACTTGGATCGAGGTGCAGAGCCTTCCTTGCAAGCCTAGCGCGGTTCTTGCACCTGCCATCAGGCTGACTATGGCAAGCCTCTTATCAAGGGCAAGCAAGACTATCGGTGCCTCGTGCTGTAGCTGTTCTGTGGGAAGCATTTGCGACGGCAGCAGACAAGACGAAGAAATGGAATGCCGCTCGCATCTACGATGGGCCCTGATGCAGGCTGCCCGGCCTCCTCACGAAAGAGCAGTGCTGCCGTCACGACTTGACTATCAGTAACACCTCAGATGTCCTAAGTATCCGGCCATCTGGCCAGGATGCAGAAGGAGCTCGACAGCGGCAAGCTGCCCAAGCCTGGTGCCTGAGGAGCAGGCGCCAGCCCGTCCATGCTATCTCCGTGGTTGTACGGAGACTGTGCGAGTGCTGCAGGTCGAGACGCCGCTGCCGCCTCAGATTGATGGAGACACCAGTTTTCTGATTCCTTCGATAGTGTGTTGTGTGTGTGTGTGTGTGTGCGTGTGTGTGCGCATGCGTCTTTTGGCGGCACGTTCTCAACACAGCAGAACACAGAGGCAGCAACTGTCACCAGTGGAGATGTCCGGCATTTAATTTTTTGTCACATTCGTGCAACACAAAAGACTGCAACATTTCCAGATGTATCGTCCGGCATACTAAGGGTGCGTGTTGTAATTTCAAGCCACGCCAAGCAGTACGGAATCGTTTCTCCACACAGGCTGGGACAAGTCAGAACAGGTGCTTCCTGGATAGGAGCACAGCCTGCACGAACGATCCTCATTTAGGTGACCCTCACTTCTGAAGTGCCTCGGCCCAGGTGCGCTGCGACATTTTTTTGAGGAAAGGGCTGAGCTGGCGACTGCAGCTTTGTGTTGAGTGAGCGGCTGCCTACACAGCCGAGCTGCGACTTGCACTCGCGGCTTCGAGAGATTGACATGCTATTGCCTTTGTGCTACTCGCATGTTAATCCCATGTCGTCAACACAGCTTAAGCAGACGGGTGCAACGTGTCCATAGTTCCAGGTCTTTGGTTGGACCTGAGGAGACCTGCACCAAGGTGGAGGTGTCCCCAAAATTCTTTGAGGTTCAATTTTTCACCAAAGCACGCCGGGCTCCCCGAGACGTTCGAAGTGGCCATCGGCAATCTCTGCAGACAAAAATGGGGCAGAGCGATTCGTCGCGACTTAGTTGTCAGAGGAACGTTCTGACGAGTGACGGCCATTTGACGGCGAGGTGCAGGAGCCAGTTCTCTCGAAGTGGGGCTTCGATCCGTCAGAGGAGGGTTTGGCCGAGGCTTCCCCGGTGCAAGACGTGAAAGTAGAATCATGAATCATGGGACCTTGTGGCATGTCGGTCTGCAGTCGATGTGGTCCGCGTAAGGGACGCTTGCACGGTGCTGTCAGATGATGGTGTGCCTCAGCGACCACACCCTTCGAGACCAAGCGCTTCGGTCTGGGCCTTGAAGTCGGCCTCGGCAGAAGCCGACTAAACCTGCAAGGGCTCTGACTGGGCCAAGGAAGCTCGCAGACGAGACCACGAAGATGCTGTACGGAGGGGAAGATGGCATGTGGGGAATGGAGGACTAGCTCCTGTCTCTGAAATCTTGCGGCCATACTCCCCTGCCTTATTGCGAAAATTTTTGTGCAGAGGTTCCTGTTTCACCATTCGCCATGTGTCAAGACAGAGCGGAGGGAAGATCAAGCCCGACAGCGATCAAAGGACACTTGCGACGTGTGGGGTGTACTAGAATGCACTAGAATGTCCCCGTGCCGAGGCCCCCACACATCCCATCGTCCTTCTTTCTGGCTCATCCTGGAGCTTATTGTTTATGGGCCCGGCGCATGGGATAGGCATGGATAGGCTAAAAAAACCCACAGACCCGCGATGACCCGTCAAACGAAGCAAAGAAGGTCCACACTCTATGGAGCCACAGAGCTAGACATCTACAAGACCAGGCAGACAGACGATAGCATGGCGAGCAGAATGTTTGAACGTCGACCTGCCCAAGTGTTGGTGCGGGCATGTGACTCAGCCTTTCAGTCCGACCCTGAGCATACGTATCTCACTCCATGGAGCATCAACGCCTGATCGATTGAAACTAGCTGATTCTTTCGGCCTGCGCGTGAACCGCTTGCCGGACTGGAGATGCCTGCGACCTAGCTGTTCGGCGCTGTCGCTTGTTTGGTGGAATGGTGAAGACTCTGCCAGCTTCAGGTCAGGGCAAAGGGTGCCAGTGAACTCGCCTTTGGCCTTGACGCCGTAGGACACTCAATGCTCGTAACGCTCATGAGCTCCCAGGCTCCATTTCTGGCGCATTCAGATTTGGATTTCGAGTTTCCGAGCGGCTTCAGGGGGGTGGGGGTCTTATCGGAAAAGTCGCTTCTGTGATTGCCATCCATGCACAGCATTAGTATTTTCAGAGCATCTCGAGATCGGTCTCACTCAGCTATACCCGAACGAGGTCGAGGCAAACAGCACAGGGGGCCAGAAGTGCGAACCTGCGCCGCGTCAACATGAGCAACGTCAGCAAATCGGACCACAGTGGTTGAACAGGATCACGGAGAGTCGACACAGGTCGGGCATCAAGTTCGCGGTTTGACCCGCACCCACGAAGCTGGTTCCTCTAATCAACGTAGCAGACTGAGGCCGGTGTCGCAGCAGCGTGTTCTGGAGCAGCTTGCGCAGTGCGACGAGGTGAGACAGATGCAATGCTTCGTTGGGAGATGCGAGCTTACATGTAAAGGCGTTTTATAAGGTATGCCCAGCCACCATGCAGCCGGACGGAGAAACGCATGAAGATCCTTTCAGACTGAATGCGTGTCTCCTGACAGCGGATGTGCTGAATGGTAAGCCTTGTCTAAAGGGCTGAGATGTTCGAAATTTTCAGAATCATAGTAGCTGAATGAGTACACTTTACACTTTTTGGGATGTAATCCCTTATAGAACTGAAAGTGTACACGGCTTGTGAACTCAGAAAGTAAGGAATGCAGGCAGAGCGAGGATTTCATATCGGCATCTTGGACCATGTAGAGCAGATTTCACGTTCTTTGTGGCAAAGGACTGCTTTGCTGAGTTCGGGACAGGGTGGTGTGGCTACCGCCATGATTTTGGTGCCTGGTTGCATGGGAAGGAGGAATCAGGAGGAGGAAGAAATGAAAACGGAGACAAGGGCTGAAGGAAGCGAGAAACGCTGAGGCGAAGATGCTCAGCAAAACAGCTTCGGGCCTTTACAGGGCAGTCATGTTGGTCTGAACCATCATGCATAAATCGCAGACAAGCCAAGTGTCAAACTCCAATCGTTGGTGCCCTGACACAACCGCACGCAGTTCGGACAGTTCCAAGCTCTAACAAAAACTGCTTAGCGGATGTCCTGACCGAAGCGCGGTGAGAGCTGACTGGAAGAATTGATTCCCACTTTCTCAGATCACTGGGTCCATCGCAGACCTGACTCCGATTTGCAGAGCAAATCGCTCCATGGAAGGCCGACCTGCTTGGGCACCTGCAGCCGCTGAACGTCCAAAGCTGGGAGCGATGCGTTGGGGGGCCCAGGCCTCTAGAGCTCCTTCTCCTCTGGTGTCAGTCTCTTGTGGTTTTTTTTATGGATAATTAGGCGCTTAGTTTGGCGCGAACGGGGAAACTGAAGTGCTGAGGTGCTTAGAAAAGATCTCTGGTCAAGGGTTGGCTCCCTCTGAGGTGGCCTCTTCTTGGCATCCTGTCCTGATGCGCTTCGATGCTATTCTGGGGGCTGCTTGATTGCATCTGTGCATGATGGCGATGTGTGGCGTCTACAGAAGCCTTCCTGCCTTTTCGAGAGATCACAAACCTTCTGGGCCTCAGCCCTGCCCTAGCCCAAGGCCTTTCTGAAAAGTGGAATGGGCTTCAGTGGGTCAGAGGAGCTCGTTTGCGAGGCAAGAGTATGTGGCTCTTGAACCGCATGTCGCAACGTATGTCCAAGCATGCAGCATGAAAGCGTGATACACTGCTAGATATTCCCGAGCAATCTGTTAAGCCATTTAGAGACCGAAGCATCGAACTTGATGCTAGATCGACAGGGAAGGTGCATGCATGTCCGTGTCGAGGAGAGCGGTAGTCGGTGTTGGCTGCTGTCTTTCAACATTGGAAGCTGATTCAGCAGGTGCTAGCTTTGCTCACATCGTTGGCAGGTGCTCCGTGTTCTGCACGATGTCTTGCTGCTTCACCAGGAGCTTAAAGGTGTCGTGCTTCTTGAAGGGTGGCTCAACTGCTCGCAGCGTTGCAATCCCTTCGGAGGGAAGTCAAAGCAAGCCGCACCTTCCCAGCGATCCTGCCAGGTCCCGTGGAGAAACTCCGGGACCTGTTGCAGTGTCAGAGCCCTGGCAGCAGCCACAGCATTGAGGAGAGCATGCCGACAAAGCAGGGGTGCGCGTTAGGCTCTGAACTGAAAGTGCTCCTGGGAGTCTCGGCCTCAGCACGCTTTTGCCACAACTGTGTTGGACTCTGTTAGACTGCTGAACTTCAGACACTTGGAGAAAGCTTGATGCCACTACTCCACCGCGACACGGACGCGAGGTGCTCCGGTGTCTGGCTGCCTGCCCACCAAGCACAAGCCTCAGCGGAAACCTGGAAACTGATAGGAGCCCTCAAAAAACCCCCAGTCGGCCCACACAACGAAAGTGTGTGCGAGTGTTTGAGCTGGCCTTTTCGAGATTCGCCAAATTCAGATCATGATTTTTGATGTCGGACCAGGGTCTGCAGGTGGAAGCGGTCCGAGTATGTCCGAGCGGGTCCGTTCTCTGGAGGGAGCTGTGCTTTTACTCCAATCCGGCTCTTCGATTCGCCCATCGCATTTAGTGGTGCAAAGCAAGTTGTAAAGCAGCCGTTGAACATCATCGCAAGAATTTCGGAAGACCTTCCTGTCGGGTTGGAGAGCCGGTCGGGTCTTGTGGTTGCTTCACAGGCCGGCACTTGCAAGCTGGGCACGCTGCCTCCCTAGAAAGGCGGTTGGAGGCACAGCGAGCAACTGCTGTGTTGAGGACTTGCCTTCGGCATGTCCAACATGTCAGGGGTTGTCTTCAGTTGTCGAGAATGCAAGCATGCTTTACAAAAGCAAAAGGAAGAAAAGGGCTCGGAACGCAGGTGCTCGCTTGTGGTGGCGGCCCCGGCCCCAGCAAAGTGGTGCAGGCAAACCACGAACAACTCAGTCAAGCTGTGGGGGGTAGCGGAGGGTTCTTTTGATCCAGCAGTTGTGGGTGCTAACATATGCTAGTTGCTGCTAGTTGTTCAGGATACCTGGAAACGGGCAGCTTTCGCGATGCTTGTACATCTGAGGCCTCGAAGTGCATGTCATCGCTACGGGGGAAGATAATGTAAAAGCCATGCCCGAGACAGGACTATGTGTTGGAAGACTTTCGCGCGGATAGCGTGGGGGAAGGAGTTGCGACCTCAGGAGGTTCTGTGCAGAGAACGGCAAGGCCGCGGGACCTGTGGGACCTTGCCTCCGGACTTTGGCCTGTCAGGACGCGCAGCCGTCGGAGTTCAAGGCCAGGGCAATGGGTAACCCAGAAAGGTTTGTTTCGGAAGGATCCGAATGGGAGTTGGTGTGGCATTAAGAGTGGATGTGAGAACCGGCTCACAGGCTGGAGCTGATTCTGGTGACTTCGAAGAGCTGAGAAGACAGCTGGAGGCACGGAAAAGAGATGAATCCGAGGGCAGCGAGCCCCCAACAACCACGGGGCTTTTAAAAGCGTGCGTCTGGCAGGCTCGGCGGGGAGAGCCCTGGGCCGCTTTCCCCGTCCCGGCACTCAGAGTCCAAACCAGAGGGCCTCAGCGGAGTTCTGGGCGGGGCGGGGATGCATCCGACAGTCGGATGGCCAAGGAGCAGCTGCTGCAGCTCCGGCTCTGGCGCGCACCCAAGAGTGTATATAGTATATAGTATATGTATGTATGTATGTATGTATGTATGTATGTATATATATATACACACATATACACATATTAATATGCTATATACACACACACACCATATCCATGTTATTTCTACTCTATATATAAATAAATACATATATATAGAGACACTATGTATATATATATATATACATACTACATATGCTTTATATGCTATATATACTGTACAATCATTACAGATACTACATAGTCTATGTATATATACACTATGTATACCTACACACACACACACACTCTATATATATATATAGATACATACATACACACACACACATGCATGCATGCATGGATGGATGTATGTATGTATGTATGTATGTATGTGTCTATGCATGCATATACACATAATCTGAACCTACATATATGTATATGTAGAATGTGTGGTACTACGTAACTTCCGAAGCGCACGTAGTACAGAGAGCCAAGGTTGGAACGGTTCCGGATGGACCATCCTGGCCATCAACGGCGAGGTGGCCACTCGAGCCATGGTGGATGAGATCCTGCCCCTGGGCTGCCCTAAACCCTAAACCCTAAACCCTCAACCCTAAACCCTAAACCCTAAACCGTGTTCTGCAACGCCTGGAGGTTGTAGAAGAGTAGCTAGGAAAGATCCGTGGCGACAGGGCATGGAGAGTGCCGGGAGGCTTGGAGGGTAAAGGTTTCGGGTGAGTTGTTACGACTTGTCACGGTTCGCAGGTTCGCCGTTTAGGGTTTAGGGTTTAGGGTTTACGGGTTCGCCGGTTCATAGATCTGGGTGATGTCGAAGGGAGTTTGCTTTATTGCGGCAGACTTTGGATACGCGCCGAAGAGAGCAGATGTAGGACTGTCATCCTATGGACCCCTAAGCTCCCGAAATGCCAAGTACCCAAGCCCCCTACAGTGTACCTGCAGAATCTGGTTTCGTTCACGGCAAAGCGTGCTCATGAGGCACTCAGCTTTCCGATAATCTGTTGTAGGGATCCTTGCCTATATCTCGCCTGGAGCATCAAGTGACTTCTGGCACAGAGCCCTAAAGCCCAACACGCCAAAACTCGAAAAGCCTTGAGCCCTTTCGGTTTGAAAACCCAAGGAGTTCAAATTGGATTCTCAGGCAAGGTGCAAAGCGATCACCTCGTGGCAGCAAGTACGCCAAGATGTCCTCCACAGTCTCGGACGGCCGCACCTGCATGAGTTGTGCTTGCGCTCTGCGATGCCAACGGAGATAGTCAACTTAGGTAACTACTGTTGCCCATTCTTGCAGTATCAAGGACCCTAAACCCTAAACCCCAAACCCTAAACCCTAAACCCTACACCCCTAGACCACGAGCAGTATTGTGTCTCCTAGTCAAAAGTCCATAGCGCAGACCATCAAATGCAGCAGCGTTCAAAGATTCTGCCGACTTTTACTCAACGTTTTGGTGACGACGGCTTGCGTCAAGATCGAAGGGTCGGACAACCGGGTCCTAAGGACTACTGCATTCTAAGCCCTAAGCCCTGAACCCTAAACCGAATTACTACTAGGAGCAGACTTGTGATTCGCTGAGCCCCGCTTCCTTCCAGTCCCAAAGTCTCGACACAAAGCCCGCACCGAATACAGGGGCCTAAACATTTTTCCATACTATTTTTGGGGCTTCCTTACATCACCGTATTCTAAGAACTGTGGAGGCCCCCTATGGCATGCCTTCAACTCTGAGTTTTCGGCCTGTAGCCAACCGTAAACCTTCAACCCCAAACCCTGAATCTTCTCATTCCCAGCCCTGAACCCTGAACCCCAAAAACCCAAACCCCCCTGACCCCAAAACCCCAAAACCCTCAAGCCCTTAACCCTAAACCCCTCAACCCCAAGCCCTAGACCCCTTAACCCCTTAACCCTAAACCCTATGCCCTAAACCCCTCAACCCTAAAACCCTAAACCCCTTAACCCCTTCACCCACAAACCCTAAACCCGAAACCCCTTGGTCACCCTAAACACCGAACCTCGGCCAGGCGGCAACGACCAGGGGAACTCCAGGTTGCCTCACGAAGCGGCTGCTGCCAAGGGCGAGTACATCGTGCAATTCGTGAGGTTCTCTGCAGGTTTAGAGGTTTTGGGTTTAGGGGCCTAAGGGGTTCAGGATTTGGGGGTTTCGGGTTTAGTGGCCTAAGGGATTTCAGGGGTTTTTCGGGGTTTCTGCCGGATTCGCTCTGGCCGCTCATGCACACTTTGGCGTGGAGGTTGTAGTGTAGGGTTCTGGGAACTCGGCCTCAGGGTTGTATTGTTTCCGCTTTTCTTTTGTCCCATCATCAACATTGCAATGTCTACTGCTACTGCGACGACGACAGCGACTGCTGCTGCTCGTAGTCGTCCTCCTCCTCCTCTTTCTCCTCCTGCTCCTCCTCCGACTCCTCCTCGTCGCTGTTGCAGCTCCTCTCGCCACAACTAATGCTGTTGTTGGTGCTGCTCCTGTTCCGTCGCCTAAACTGCTCATGCTGTTAATTCTGTTGATGGTTCTACGGCCATTACAAAAAGCGAACACTGATGAGTGTATCATCTGCTTCGCAACTTCGGACTTGATCTTGTGGCACCGCCAGGGCCGCGGACAACTCGGAGACTCCAATCAGAGTCGGCAACAAGGTGCCAGGGTTTCGACGAAGGGTTTCCAGCGATGTTCAGTCTTGGTAAACAATTCGGTGACATTTTATCCGTGGCAGTGGAGGTCATGCTGAAGCATGCTGCCGGCTGGACCTCCGCCGCTGTGAGCTTCTCGCAGAGCTACATGCTTGCAACTGCTTGTCCTTCGCAGCATCATCCACTGTTTTTATCGTTGTCCCACTCCTGGCTTTGGCAGCTGAGGTATGGACGCCAGCAAGGCTGTAGATGGGGAGGAGGATAAGGAGGTGGCTGCCAAACCACAGCTTCTGGAGGAATCTGTTGGCACTTCCTTTCTCGTGGAAGCCTCGGAGTACGGGAGCAAGGATGACCCCGGTACGTATCAGTGGGCTGCAAGTCAAATCCACCGCCTTTCGGAAGCTTGGCAGCAGTTTTGACGTTTCGCAAAGTGTTCTTGTGATGGGTGAGGACCCCTGAAGCCCTGAGGACAGTGTACAGCTGCAGACATCTGCTGCTGAGAAGTACCGCACGCTGACAGTGGTAGCGTTTAACGCGCGTACCACTGGCGTCGATGGTGTGGCAGGTCGCATTCTGCAGTGAGTGCATTTGGGTAGTTAAGAAACTTGAGTACCTTGTTTAGAAGTTTTTAGATTCAGGAGTGTGGTGCTTAGTCTCCTGATCTTATCAAAACCACTTTCCCGACAGTTTCTGTCAGCATTTTTACCGACAACCTGCGGCAGTACGTGGGCAATCACCGAAGGAATACATGGAGAGTTTGGCAATGGAAAATAGACGCGTCTATGCATAATGCAGGTTTAGTGTGAACATCCGAAGCGCAACGAAACGCTTAGCAAAGTGGCACAAATAGCAAATGCCACCTGAGTCATAAACAAATCATCGCAGTGGTGCAAGCAGAGTATTCTACCACAGGTGCATAAGGCGCACTCATACGTTAAAGCAGCTGGCAATGACATTGCATCAGCAGAAGAACTATATCGATAATATGCCAGCAAGACTTCTGGTATGAATAGACTATCTCCCAAAAGAGTAGCAGTATTGTGTTCATGTTCGAAACTTTTGGAACAGCGAACGCCCCATCTGGGCCTCTGGTCGGTACGTATTGAGATACTGTAATGAAATGGTTGCACATATGATTAGCAGCATCTAGAAAACTCTTAAGTCTAGATTGCCAAGGGGTCCTTTGAAGGTCCCCAATAGTATATGTTAGGCACCTCACGCAGATGGTGGTTTGTCAGCTCGATACGATTAAGCAAATCGTGCATGTCAAGAATGTGGTGAATGACGACGCACTTGTTCATTTCTGAGGTATTTCTGCAGCAATATGGAAATACTGACATACTGCTTACTAGTGTCAACATGTTGCTGACGGCCATGAGTTGCCAGGACTTCTACAAAAAGGAACCCTGAAGATTGCGACACAACTGACTTTGACTACGACAGCCTCAGAGACAGTTCCCCCAAGGCCATTCTTCTCGTGCCTTCAGGAATTCTCCAGTCCGATCCAGATCTGTATGTCCGCGTCCTTTCGAGCTTGCTTCACCCCATCCGCAACCAGAAGGCAGGCTTTGTCGTGGCGGCTTGAGTGTGTGCCTTCCTGGTTGTTGCGAAGATGAGCACACTGAAGGACATTCGGGTTGAGTACGAATGCCTCGGGGACTTGCTGATGGAGGTGGTGTTCAGTCCCGACACAGACTCCGACGTGGACCCAGTGAAGATCCTGGCGTGGGAAAACAAAGAGGACGAGACTTCGCCGAGTGCTGAACTGCCCAAGATCCCTCGACCACCTCTCGCCCTTTGAACCCCCCTACACCAGATTCGTATTAATAAGAACAGAAAAAAATAATAGTAAGAAGAACAATAGTAGCAATAACAGTAGAAATAGTACTAATAACAAGAATGGTAACTGGGAGCTTCTATTCATTGGAAGCCTTGGCACGAAGTGCCAAGGCCTCAAAACCCGAGCCCTAAAGTTCTCCAACCCTACACCCCAATCCCTATACCCCCCTAAACCTTTGAGGCAGCCAAACCCCAACCCCTCAACCCTAAACCCCCAAATCACCCAATCTCTAAACCCTATATCCCCAAGCCCCTAAAGTCACCAAAATCTCTAAAAAACCCTAAACCCTTAAGGCCCAAAGGGCCTTAAACTCCCTAACTAAGCCCTCTTTTTTTCAGCCCAGGAAGGGACCATCGCCCGAAGCTCGGGGCTGCAGATCGGGGATGAGCTCCTGGAGATCGAGCTGCTGGATGACCGGGAGAAGGACCCACTACCTTCAGGAGGATGGTTATTTTTTGCTACTATATGGTTGTTATTGTTAACTTCAGGAGGATGTTATTTGTTATTGCTAGTTACTAGTTTTGTTATTGTTGTAGATACTGTAATGCAACCATGAAGACTAGTCTTAATTGTATGGATCTTGCTATTAATCTTCTTCTTCGTCTTCTTCTCAATGCTAGTGTTTTTTCATATCAGCACTCCTACCATCTGTGCATGTCTTTGCAATGGTTGCACCCCTGTGATCCCCCCTCGAACCACTACACCCACTACAACCCTTGACCCAGCAACCCCACAAGCCCTGATCCTAAAGCCCCCAAACCCCCCTCGACCCTACAGGCCCCTTAAGGAACGAATCAGCTGCAAGCCCTAATCCGCCAGAGCCCTAGACCCTAAACCCTAAACCCTAGACCCTAGACCCTAGACCCTAAACCCTAAACCCTTAACACTAAACCCTAAACCCAAGAGCCCGCAAAAGGAGGGGGCAGCCAAGAAGATCAACAGCCCGGCAGAGATGCGGGAGCTCCTTCAGGAGCTTTGAGGGCTTAAGCCAGGGGTGGGAAGATCTTCCTAGTAGTATCCCTTCAGGGTTTAGGGGGTCGGAAGATAAATCCTACATATAGGTATGCTACATTCTACCCGAAAACGCTATTCTTCCAATTCAGGCCCCTACATCAGGGACTTGGCACATACCCGGATTACAAGGATCCTGAGTTTTGCCAACCCTCAATTATGTAAAATAAAGCATCCCATCGAAACCCCTTACCACATCCTGTATAATCTACGGAGCCCCTGCAACATCTAAGATAAACCCTAAAGCATAAACCCTAAAGCATAAACCCTAAACCCTAAACCCTAGGGTGCATGTCAGCTTGGAAAAAAACACCCTAAACCCTAAATCCTAAAACATAAGTTTCACAAGCCCACAGGAAGAGAGCGAGGAGCCCGTCGTTCTCACTTTTCGATCCCGGGGCGTCAGGGGAGAGGACTGCAAGACGAAATTCGAAGCACCAGGCACCCAAAATTCCTTTGAACCTCCCAGAGTAGACTCTAGCTGTTCAGGGCTTTTTTTTGGGGGTTGTTTGCTGGGTTTCAGATTGATTCAGGGTTTTTTTAGGGGGTTTGGGATTCTGTCTGAGTCTTCAGCCTTAGCCCCTCTGAGAGGACAGCAGCGGCACGGTGAAGAAGGCCGTATCACAGGCCGAGGACATCGCAACGCTTCTGCCCACGTGGAAGGAGATCGCAGACAGTGGCAGAAGGAGCCTCCAGGAAGGCGACTACGCAGAACTCAAGGATCCTCTGGGCTCTCCTTAAGGGGTTTATAGTTAATAGGTGACCATAATGGGAATCTACAGTCAGCTTAAGTTACCATAATAGGAATCTATATAGTCTATATAGTACATAATATGGTTTCCTTATGATGTTAACTTAAATTAAATCCCTTAACAAGAAACCCAGAGGACGCCATCTTGAGTCGCACCTTCCTCTTCCGAGCCAAGTGTGACATGGCCCTGTCCCTGATGTCTGCCGGCCTGAACCTGCTCTACGACGACTTCATTCCTAGCGCCTTAGAGCTCCATCAGCACTTCTCTCCGGCTCCGGATTCGATTCTCTTCACCTACTTCCCGGGCCGGGAGTACGCCGAACTGCGGGAGGAGCTGGTGATCGCGCAGCTGGAAGTCTTGACCAGCCTCTGGCGAAACCTGCCGAGGATCGTCAAGGAAGATATGCCCGAAACGATCCGGAAGCTGGGCTCTTCTTAGGGCTCCTCACGTAAAGCTACAACAATCGGGGACATGTTGTAAGATTCTGTTTTCCGTTCCCAAACCCTAAACCCTAAACCCTAACACAAATCAGATTTTTTTCACAAGAGCCGAGGAAGCTCTTCCGCCCGGACATCGAACTCGAACTCATGAAAGATGGGGCTTCCTGGCTTCAAAAAGCTTTGGGCATTAGAAGTTTGAGTAGGTGGCTGGGGTGGATTATACCATGGATGGGGTAGATCATACTGTGAGTTTCAAAGTTTCACAGGTGTATGCTTGATAGCATGCTGTACTCATAGTATGCTGAAAACTCATACAAGAGACTCTCATTGGGGAGTTTAGGCTGAACTTCGGCCTGCGGAGCACCAGAAAACCCAGATCACGGGCGCTGATGCAGTCAAGAGCTTCATACGCCATAATACATTATTTTTTTGCACACGGTTACATGTGTGTATGTATATATATACACATATACATATATATATATATGTATATACAAATGTAT